ATCCCCCCAAACTATTCTAAATTTGGTCCAAGAATGTAGAATATAGTGGTTTTAAGTTTAGCATCTATGGTCCACTATTTCAACCTATCCAATTATGAAATCAAATTATTTCTACACAATGCTTAACTTAATTCATGTGTTCAATACATATCAAATTTCATATGGAAAAAGCAAAAATTAATCTAAGCATGCAACTTATTCACCATTCATAGATCAATTCATAATTCAATATATTCATCATTGTCAGTCAGGCCAACTAACTCACACAAGCACACAAAAAGAAAATATTTTTGAAATTTTTCAGTTTTTTTTTAATATTAAAGCACACAAAAACACAAAAATAAAATGAAAACTCATGTTTTCCACCTCAAACTTAAACTAGACATTGTCATCAATGTCTTTAATCCTAAATCCGCATATAAAGGGGTGAGGAAGAATGTGAAGAAAAGACTCCCCTGATATGGCGTGTAATTCCATGGCTAGCTTTCATATTACTCAGTTGACTCCTTAGTCAATGTTGGTTCAAATGTTTCGCGACGTCATGTTCCTGAAAAATCAAATAACTGAAACACGTGTTATTTAGCACTAACATCTAATAGCCCAACTAACTTATCAAAGACCTAAGGGGAACGGGTAAGGTTGATGAGTTCCAAATAAACTTAAAATGAATCAAACGATCCTAAAACTAAAAAAAAAGAATAAATAAAAAGGAATAAAACTTGGGTTGCCTCCCAAGAAGCGCTCATTTAACGTCATTAGCTTGACGTTGGCAATCCGCATCATGGAACTTTGAAAAAAGATTTTGATTCCTTTCTCATTTTTCTTCTTTTGATTTTGCTCAACTCTTCGTTATTTCTCCAAACTTCAACATTGTCCTTTTCAATGTAATAGGATTTTTCCATTCCATCCAATTCAAACTTGACAACGTAGACTTCAACTTCCTCATCGGACTTAATCACAAAATCAATTTCTATACAATCAATGAATTTGAACGAATGTGCATTTCTACTTCTTCATTCGGTTCCTTTGTGATTAAGTTGTCATTCACTTTAAACTCCTCTACGATCATTGAAATTTCTTCGGGTTGAATGATCGGTCCACAATCTAGATCCATAGATAATGAGAAGTCTGTCCCATTGACTCCTTGAAGTGGATTGTACCCCCATTGTTGAAATCCTCCACAGTACATGAAATCTCCCATGAGCATATCATTTTCATCCAACTTGACAAGTTCTTTAAATTACCGTGCAAGTACATTCTCGTTCAATAGGGGAGGACCATCTCCCACAAGTTTGATGTTCACATCCCAATCGTTAGGCACAAAATCTCACACGAGCATGTACTCTTCATCAGATTTTTCAATTGCCTGTTTTCTACATATCAAACATGTTTGAAATCTCAGAAGTTTCAGCGTGTGTAAACTAGAGAACAAACATTTCCCAGTATAGTGCACCTCGTAACAATTTTCACAACTTGGATATCCTCCAAGCATATCTTGACCATCCATGTAGAGATTTGTCATTGCAACAACTTTGTTATTTTACCAATGTTAGAACTATGCATAATATCTGAAAAGTATAAAGAGAGAATACCAACACAAAATAAATTAAAACCATAGGGGGTGAGTAAAATAATATAAAAAAGGAAAACAAAGAAAAATAAATAAATAAATAAAATCAAATAACAGTTAAAAATAAAATAAACTAAGACTAAGATTAAAAGTAAATAGTCCTCGACAATTGCGCCAAAAACTTGTTGCGGTTTTTCTATTGCAAGTGTACGATATCGTAACAAGTAGTAAAGTGGACATTTGAGTCCGGATTATTGTTGCCACAAGAACTATACTTTAGTTTTAATCTACTTTTTCTAACTCTTATTTGATGATAGTAAACAAATAAAGTATGGTAAAA